TCAGAACATGAACCCGGGAACTGAATGACCAGCTTTCAAACCTTGATTGATTTCATTCTTACTTGAGTGTATGATCATGGACAATGCACCTTTTCTGTGCCTCAGTTTCTTCCTGTTTAAAATGGTGATAACAATGATACCTATCTCATACAGCTGTCTTGAGGATTTATTGTCAGTGATTGCTTGTAAAGTCCTTAGAAGGACTTCTGGTGATTATGAGTTGATGAGAGTAGCAAATCTTCTCCCTCCCAAACAAGTCTATAACGCTGGACAAAATTGTCAACAACCACCATTTTAGGGCCCTGGAAATTAATCAAAGCCATATAATTGGGAAGCATTTAATGGTTAAAAAGTTGATAGAACTTTTGGTGTGAACAATGGCAGTTTAAAGCCTTCCAGCTTGGGGCTGCTCCTGTCCCCCAACTCCGTAGCTGTGTATGTCATTTTGGTCCTTTCATTAGGGTAAGGCTGACTGTGAAATGCAGTGACTCTGCTGCCAGGGGAAGTTGGCTTGATGTGGAGCAGAGCTGGAAACCCATGCCCAGCAGTGTTGTCGGTAAAAGCAGTCAACACTGTGGACAACAGATGGGGAAAATCCATAGCCCTGCCTGAGATTGTGGTCCCAGGTGGGGAGACTGGAGGGCCAGTCTGAAACTGGGAAATCTTGGGAATAAAAGATCCAAAGTTCTCTGTGTGCTTTTTTGATGAACGGGAAACTACACACATGTGTCGAGGAGAAAAATTACCCAGACTGACTAGAAAATGTACTGTTTTCTGAACACTCTTCCTAACTCACACTCAGGTCAGTCAGCAGAGGTTAGACACCTTGTTATGTAGGTTCATGGTTTTTGTGAAAAGTCTCTGCTCCATCATTGGCTGGTCACTAAGCGTGGCAGAGGCAGGGGTGATCCCTAGGAAGCCAGACGAGAAAATAAAAATAAGAACTAAAATAATGACAACAGCAGTCACAAAAATAAGGAGAGATTTCTCTATGGGGGAGACCAGCCTGCAGATTTAAATCCAGTCAGGATACTAAAAAGAAAATGTCACAGCAGCAGTGATTCTCAGGGAAAGGAGATCTGAACCAAGTGCTCCTAACAGTATTTTATTTCAAATGTCTAGTTTTCAACAGCAAAACATTAGATGACATGCAGAGAAACAGGGAAGTTGACCCATCCATACTCAGGAGAAAAAACGTTCAATGACAACTTCCTCTGATGTGGGCCCAGAGGTTAGATTTAGCAGCTAAACATTTCAGGGTGGCTGTTAAGAATATGTTCAAAGATTAAAATAAAACTATATTAGAGAATTGAGGGGAAATACGACAATGACTTAAAAATATGTAATCTCAATGTAGATGTAAAAACTATTTCATAAAGCCCTTGGAGAAATTCTTGGCACGTCTTAGTTATTTTTATATCAGTGTGCTGCAAATAAATTCACATTTTTCCTCCCCAAATACAGATACCTTAGCTTCATCTGAATCCAGATATTCCGATTAAATCGGTCTAGATTAGGACTTGAACATCTGTCTTCTTAAAAACACTCAATCAGATGACTTTGATGCAAAGTGGTGTTTGTGAATCAACCATTTAGCCTTGGCAAGTTATTTTAAATTTTTTTCTTAAAAATACCCAATTTAAACAGTTAAGAATTACTCTATGTACAAAGGAAGAAAGTGGGATTAAAAAATAGTGGCCCTACTTGTGATAATTTCTTCTGTGTGACTCAGTATAGTTAAGTCACTAGTCTATACAAAAAAAAAGTGTGTGGGGGAGGGGAGGATAAATAAATGTCTAGGAATAAGGTTTGTTCTGCCTTTCCCTAAAGATTTTCTTAGTTAAAATACTGACTTTTTAAAATTAATAATGATTGCAATATTTTTATTTCAATTATACTGTGCTCCAAAATTTTATATGAGGTCACTTGTTTGAATTTCCACACAGATTTTGCTACAGAAATAAGTGACCTCTCTGAGGCCCTAAAAATATTTCAATTAGCCTGGCCAGCGTGGCTCAGTGGTTGAGCATCGACCTGTGAACCCAGAGGTCACAATTTGATTCCTTGTTAGGACACAGGCCCCCCGGGGGGGGTTTTGCCCCCGGGGGGGGGGGGGGGGCATGTAAGGAGGCAGCCGATAAATGTTTTTCATCATTGATGTTTCTATATCTTTCTCCCTCTCCCTTCCTCTCTAAAATCAATAAAAATACATTAAACTATTTCAATTAAAACAAAATACTAGTTTAAGCTGGATTATTGGTAAAGGCAGTATAGTCCAGTATCTGAAAATGGAAGAAAGCAATAGTGTACATAAAGTTGACTTTTGAATTTGGGGAAGTTTAGAAATAAACTCTTGGAAAGAGTTTGTTTTGACAGTTTTCCAGCTCCGTTTCTGTATTTCTTCTTCATTGATAGTGCACCTCTCCACATATTTTTAATAATCTCATAAGACCATAAACCTTCCTAGTGAAAACCTACCAAAGTCGGGGTTTGCCACAACCCCCTAAAGATTTCTGTGCTCCAGATTGTATCCTTTTCTCTTCATTTCAATTATACCTTGAGTTTTTCTCAGTAGAACTGAGAGGTCAGCCAAGTTTGAGAACTGTAGTTTTCTAAATCGTACTAATGCGTAACCCAGTAACCCTTTTGAAGGATTATTTGCATCTTAGAAAGAGGATGCACATTTATCCAGGTGACGTTCTGTTTCCCTGAATCAGTGAGAGGCATTCTGCAGTAAAAGTTAAAGAGAACAAAGTGTGGGCATAGGATCAACCTGGACAAAACCCAGCTCTTCACTTTGGCAGTTTATATCTTGGAACAGTTTACTTCTGAAGGTTGGCATCCTATCTGATAAAAGAGTAATATGCAAATTAACCATCACCCCGTCACAAAGATGGTGGCGGCCACGGAGCTGGAGCGAGCAGGAGGCTTGGGTTGCCCCCAGGGATTGAGGAAGCCAAGCTTCCCACCTGCCCTGGCCGGCACTGGGCTCCGCTCAAGGCTACAAAGTTTCAATTATAGAAGATAAATAAATCCCAGATACCTGCTTTAGCCTTCCTGGAAAAAAAAAAGAAAAAAAGGAGAGGCTGGGGGCATGGCCAGCCTGAAAACGGCCATCAGCACCTCACCCAGGCTGGTCAGGCACTGCAGCAGGACCCCCACCTGTATCCAGGGCACCCTTCAGGGAAAACCAGCCAGCCCCCACCCATGCACCAGGCCTCAATCCTATATAATAAAAGGGTAATATGCAAATTGACCCTAACAGCAGAAAGACTGGGAATTTTTGGTCACTATGACATAATAAAAGGGTAATATGCTAATTAGACTGGGTTGACCAGACATCTTCCAGATATCTGACTTCCTTCTGGACAAAGCCACAGTGGTGGGAGCCGAGGCAGAGGCAATAAGGGGCAATCAGGCCAGCAGGGGAGCAAGCAGTTAGGGGGCGATCAGGCGGGCAGTCGGACATCCCCCAAGGGGTCCCAGTTTGGAGAGGGTGCAGGCCAGGCTGAGGGGCACCCCCCCCCCCCCCAGTGCACAAATTTTTGTGCACCGGGCCTCTAGTTTCTCAATAAAAAGGGATATAATGAGTAATTCATGGGATGCAGAGTAATTAAAGGATAGAGATAAGAAAAAAATACCAAAATTATTTGTTAGTATTTTGTAACAGGAACACTATAGATGGCAATAGGTTGGACAACTGAAATAAAAAATTGAGGCAATGTAGAAGTTTTAGCTGTGGTATCTGACGATCTGACGTATAGGTAGCAAACCAGCATAGTGAAGACCTGCTTCTCCCCACACAGTTCTTCTTGGCTGTTCTTGGCTTTTTTTCGCCTTTACCGGTTCTCCTATGTCCTGTTACTGCTTTGGGATCCCTGGTTAAAAAATGATTAAACTTCAAATTCTAATCTTTTATTTCATTTGGGAATCTTCTTTAGAGCATTCATGAACAGTGGTTAGCTATACTCTGCCTCATGCAATATACATAAATTCATATAGAATTTCTCAGTAAGCACTTCATATACTCATTTTAGAGTCACACAGGTAGGAAAAGTGACATTACAGATGTTTTTAAATCTCTATTCTGTAGATTGACAGAACTGAATCTTAAAGAACTTTTGCCTTTTCTGGTGTTTCAACTTTCTGGCTCTTTTGAAGGCCCATCTACTGATTGTTGTCAGTTTTAAATAAAGTGTGTATTAATTGAAGTAATTTATTGTGCCATAGTATGTTGCTGCCATAGTGTCTTAGTTATTTTGGAGGGAAACTGCTAAGACGAAAGTATTTTTAAGATAATGCTACTAACAGGAACTTATATGTCTACATTAAATGAAAATATAAGGCCAATGTATAGCCCAGTTTTTATTCAGTTGCATAAATGAAACCTATTTCTTAAATAGTTGTTACATTCTATATTTGTAAAACTTGTCAATATTTATAAATCCATTGATTAAATTTGTTGTTTATCTTTAAATTAGCTCAAAAAGAACCACTCATTTTCTGATTATGACTAGATTATACAGAGAATATTGTGTTTAGAGTATTTTTAAAATTATCTTATAAAAGTGAATAGTTCAGCTAAAGGTACATATGTAAGAAGAAATTCTTGATTCATCCTAAAGAGCCAAGAGTTTAAATTAGGGTATGAATGGATAACTTAAAAAACAGTTTGTGACATGTCTTGGTATTATTTTAAAATGCCTTTAAATAGTATACTTCATAAATAAGTTAATTTAGCCCTAACAAGTTTGGCTCAGTGGATAGAGCATCGGCCTGCGGACTGAAGGGTCCCAGGTTCGATTCCAGTCAAGGGCATGTACCTTGGTTGCGGGCACATCCCCATTAAGAGGTGTGCAGGAGGCAGCTGATCGATGTTTCTCTCTCAAAGATGTTTCTAACTCTCTATCCCTCTCCCTTCTTCTCTGTAAAAAATCAATAAAATATATTTAAAATAAATAAATAAATAAATAATTTAACCTAAATTGATTTTTTTCCAGGTTTCAGCAGAGCAGCTTTACCATTTGGGTTAGTTCGGCGAGAATTGTCCTGTGAAGGTTATTCTATAGATCTGCGATGTCCGGGCAGTGATGTCATCATGATTGAGAGCGCTAACTATGGTCGGACAGACGACAAGATTTGTGATGCTGACCCATTTCAGATGGAGAATACAGACTGCTACCTCCCAGATGCCTTCAAAATTATGACTCAGAGGTAAATATTCATGTGTTACTATCCCATTCTAGCTACTATATCTAAATTGGTAAAATTATTATTCCATATTAAATGGGAACAGTCTATATTTCAGTCTATTAAATTGAATTAGGATTTTCAATTTTACCTACTGATGTTGATTGCTACTATATAAGCTTTTAATATTTAAATCTTTATTTTGATATAGATTTGCATATCACAAGGAATATGTAGCACATATACAGTATTTTGATTTTTAAAAAATATAAAGGTTATGAATATGTAATTTCAAATGTAATTTTGTTTTTTAGGGCTTCACATTCTGAAATATTTTCTTATATCAAGAATGTTTAAAAATCTGGGTCTGGCAATATTTGGACCTTAATTTTAAAAATTAATACACTTTATTTTTTACAGCAAAAATAGCAGAAAATATAGAGTTAATATACCCCCATTCCCAAATGTGCACAACCTCTCTAACTACCAACATTTCACACCACGGTAATACATTTGTTAAAATAAATGAACCACATTGACACATCATTATTATCCCAAATCCATAGTTTACATTAAGGTTCACTCTTAGTTTTGTGCTTTCTATTGGTTTTGACGAATTTATGATGTGTCCACCATTGTAATACAGCAGTAGTCCCCCTTATCTAACCAGGGGATACCTTCCATGACTCCCAATGGATGCCTGAAACCTGGATAGTACTGATAGTACTGAACCTTACATATACTATGCTTTTCCTTTCTAAGTATATCTTTTCACTGAAAGAAAGCACTTATGGCCTCTCTTTGGAATATCTTAATTGCCAGCATCACCATTCTTGCACTTTGGGGCCTTTATTGTAAAGGGTTACTTGAACATAAGCCCTGAGATACCAAAATATTAGATCTGATAACCGAGATGCTACTAAGTTGAGTAGTATATGCAGCATGCATACGCTGCACAAAAGAATGATTCATGTCCCCAAAGGCACTCAGAATGGAGCACAGTTTAAAACTTATCAGTTGTTTATTTCTGGAATTTTCCATTTAATATTTTTGGACCATAGTTGAATGCAGGTAACTGAAACTGTAGAAAGTGAGTGTGTGTGTGTTGGGGGGGGGGGATACCCAGGGTGCTACTATATCTTATAGAATAGTTTCACTGCCCTAAAAATCCTCTGTGCTTCACCTGTTTATTCCTTCCTCCCTACTAACCCCATGGCAACCATTGACCTTTGTATTATCTCGTAGTTTTGCCTTTTCTAGAATATCACACAGTTAGAATCATACAGTATATAGCCTTTTCAGATTGGGTTCTTAGTAATATCCATTTAAGTTTCCTCCATGTCTTTTCATGGCCTAATAGCTCATTATTATAGCATTAAATAATATTCCATAGTCTGGATATACACAACACCCACAAATAGACACACCTACACACATTTATTTGGGTGATACCATTGATTAATTTTTTGTTTTAAAAATGATTTGTTGAAAAGTGGTTAAAACTTTATATAAATTATATTTCTTAAATGGACATTTGACTTCCTACATAAAGAGAGAATAAAAAAAATTGCTGACCTTGGGCGTCTCCTTTCTTCTCCCTTAGCACAGAGCACCTACCTCTTGGCATCTATTTTTTTCCTAAATTTTGGTACTATTGGCATTTTAATTAGATTTTCTCATATGTATTAAAATTGTGGTTAGTTATGGTTGAATTAGTGCGGTTAATATCCATCAATCACAGATATTTAGAACATAGAGACTCTCTGAAGAAAAACTTAACTGCCACAGACTTTATTGTACATTGTTGCTTTTTATTTTGTTTATTAAGAAAATCCTTCATCTTTCTTTTCAAAGCCTTTACCCTCTTCTCCTGCTTTTTTCCCCTCTGATCACAATATTCTGCCTGGTTTAATAATTAACCATTTATTCATTCTTTACATGTTGATCTAACAGTTCTACGGAAGTGTTATGATCTGAGTATTAGAAGCAGGTCAGAGAGAAATGGAAAGTGAAGAATTATTCAGTATAATTACCTGTTTTTACTAAAGCAGTGGGAGTTATAGAAAGAAAGAATCTAGAAGAATTGGCTTTGAGGAATTGTGCATTGTAGGTAACTTATCTTTGTATGTGAGATAATACATTTTAAATACATAGTTGAATAGCTAGCAAATACGTTGAAAGGTCAGTGGTGAGCAGACAGGTTAAATAGCCATCTTAGACAATGATGAAAGAAAATTGAGTTTATTTAAGGAAAAGGGGATGGAAGATGGGAGTTTCTAAAGGGAAGGCACTGAGCCAAAGGGTATTGGGTTCATGATGGCAGCAAAAATGTGCTCAGGACAATGACACAACGAAGGGCATAGAAGAGGCAACAGGAAAGCCCAGGCTGGGCTGCTTTGGCTCACTGAGACGTCAGAGACAAGGGGGCCTTGGAGACAGGTTCAGGGGGCCAGCCCATTGCTCCCCTGGTTGCAAGTCTCATGGAGTCTCTTAGTGGGTACGTGCATGTGGGAGATTGGCAGGGGCATGCTCCTTGGAGGGAGAGAGTGCACTGGGTCCTTTGTCCTGAGCATATTTATCTCTTTCTTGCAGGTGGGGATCTTAGGGGAAGTCTCAGGGGAGGGTCTTAATAGAATATTCATCAGGTGTGCAGTTTCAGAGTCATGGTCTCTGCTGATTGGTGCCAGGGCAGGGGATCATTAGTCAGTGTAGCTGGTCCTGAGGCAGCCACAACATCACTTGTCTGGTTTTGTTGCTTTTCTTGGCCTGGAGCAGAAATACAACTGAGACCTAGATGTCATTTGTAGGGAGGAAAAGGTCGGGGGTTGGGGGGGTGGGGTCTAAACTGCATGGCCAGTGGTATGCTATGGGAGGATAGGTTACCCTGGGGCCTAGATTCTTGTTTTGCCAGTTTTGCCCCTTACTAGGCATCTGAGACTTTCCACCCTGGTAAGTTTCTGTACCTGGCACATCGTCCTTGCTCTGCTCATGTCTAACATACATGTCTTGTCATACTTATAAATAACATTATAGGAAATATACAAGACAGACATGAAGTTAGTTATTTTTATTGTTTTAATAGAGGCCCAGTGCACGAAATTCCCTCAGCCTGGCCTGCTCCCTCTCCACAATACAGGACACTCAGGGTATGTCGGGCCTAAACCAGCAGTCAGACATCCCTCTTGCAATCTGGGACACTGCATGCACCAGTGACCATACTTTTCATACAGGTGAAAGGCATATTGCTGTTGTATGGGCAGTTACATTTTTTTGCCCTGATTATAAAATGTAGTACATAACCCGATCCTTCTGAGGTACTAGTACCATTTTCCCCATCTATGGATGGAAAAACTGAAGCAGAGAGAAGTTAAGTAATTGGCGTTGTCACACAGTTATAATTGTTAGAATCAGGGCTGACCACAAAATGTGCAAGCCAGAGTCCATGCATGTCATCGCTTCATCATTCTGTTTTAATTTTTAAATGTAAGAAACTGTTCCCAATATATAGGGTAGGGTCCCTAGGCCTGGCCAGGGATCAGGGGCAATCTGTGGAGTGACCGGTGGGGCAATTGGGGAGCCCCCGCTGGCACCCGCCTTGGCTGGCGGCCTCGTGCCACCCGCTCGCCAGCCCAAACTGGGGGCAGCTCCTGTGTTGAGCGTCTGCCCCCTTGTGGTCAGTGCACATCATAACGACCGGTCGTTCCACTGTTCGGTCGATTTGCATATTATGGTTTTATTATATAGGATTATGTTATAAAAGCAGGACTGCATTTTTTTAAATAAATTCCTTTGAAAGGAAATGGAGTTTTGAGGTACTTAAATTCTGTAAAAGCATACAGCTGTTTTCTATACCTTTATTATCAAAATCTCTAATCAAATTACGTGTATTAACGTACATAAGAGGTCAATTCCAAAACTGACTATAGAAACCCCATTTCTAAATTGTATTATACTGGTGGCTTATAATTATTTAATCACCACAGTGACAATTTAAACATGAACACTTTATTTATGAGGAAGACAGAGTTAAATAACTTAAAAATGAGTGTCATAGTGGTAGCTTATAATTACTCCATTCTGTGTATGTAAATAAATCTTTAAGGCAGTCTGTCACATTTGACTGTTATTTGGTTACAAATAGCTATAAGAAAAATGGGAAGACAATATTTGTGCAGCTGAATTATTACTGAATAATTTTTGAGTGTATATACTGCTTGTCCCTGTTTTTTTAAATTTAAAAATACTTTCAGTACAAATAAAGTAAAAGTTATTTTCACCAAACTCCTAATAATTTGGCAATTTTTCCTATTCATAGTCATCAAAAATGTGATATTCAATAGAGTAAAAAAGCCCTTTTTTTCTCTTTAATGTAGAAAATTTCTCTCTGGGAAGCTCTACGCACTAGAATTTTTCTATTAAGTTTGAAAGTCCCCGTTTTCTCCCTGTAATGATGGAGATTGGCACAGAATTTTCTATCACTTTAGCAGTTGAGAGGCAAGTAAATAAACACACTTGTAATTCTGAATGTGGTGACGGTAAAAGTGTTGTTATTCCTTCTTCGTTTTCTATTTCTTGATCATTGAAAGTGTGAAACCAAGAGTCTATTAGTAACTGATAGTATACTTGTCTTATAAGTACACCAAATGGCTCAATCCAGAAGGTGAGAAATTAAATTCCTTTTTAAAATGATATGTACTTTAATATTTTATAAAATAATCACTATTAGGGATAATTTTTTACCACTCAGAAGACAGTAGTGGGGTAACTTAAAAAAAATATGAACTGTTGCAACAGCTTGAATTATTAAAGGCAAAAATTACCCAACTACTACCCTGAGGTATTTGATGAATAAGTAAATTAGAATTTGCCTGCAATATTGGTTCTTTGCAGCACTTGGGTACAATCTAGTTCTTGTCTTACAGTGATGGGTTAAATTGTACCAGAGATCATCCTCTTTGGCATTGCTTTCAACTGTCCTTCTGTTCATGTTCTTCGCTCTAAGAATCTGCGCATTCTCATCTAGG